TTTGATTTCTTTGTATGTATGGATCACTTGGGTTGTTACCGACATCTGGTGAAAATTTCCTGTCATTAGCACCTCTAGTAATATGTTTACTGAGAAAAATGGTGACGTTTTCAATACTTATTTTACCCGCTGTATATGGGCCTAAATCTAGTCTAAATATCTCTTGTAGTTACTTGTATTTTATATTTAATCTTAACGTAATTAAAATCTAGTAACAAGGACAACTGCTGGTGGGCCAAATCAAATGGCTCGGCGTGCCAATCTTGGCCCGCGGGCCCCAGTTTTGGCACCTCATTTCTAGAGGTTTCATCAAAATATATCCAGTGATTCATGAGAAATTTTGCTCCAGAATAACAAACAAAGATGATCATGACAAATCAGAAACAAACTTCAAATTTTACATCCTAAAATTCAGTTTGAACAAAAGTTTTTCATCATTTTTTATATTTTGTCACCAGTGTCTCTAATAACACAGCTTGAAACATGAGAGCCTGTGCTTTTAGGATTTTATTTGGGTTACAAATAATTACAGCACAGCTGTCTTCGCAACAACATGATTTCTGGGCACACCATGAAATGATTAAATAAAAAGCAAGCCAGTGATATTCTGGATTTAGTTGTGTCAAATCAGCACACGGCCAACTAAACGGGGGGCTTTAAAAACACCGTTAGTCCGTCATCAGTCTGAAGCCAAGAAAAGGACCTCAATCAAGCCCCTTTAACGTAAACCAAGAAGAATCCCAGGGGACTGAATAGAGGTTAAACCTGACAATCTTTTTTTTCTAAAGTGTACAGTTTGGATCTGTGCTGCTCTCCTTTCAAAGACACGACGGCTTTATTAATCAGCCCCAACAAGTCAATGAATTATTCAGCAGAATGTCCCAGGTGGTTATTTAAACTCAGACTCCCAACGGGTCACGAGCCAGAAAACAGAAGCGACTGCAGCTTCTCCACGGAGGACATTTTCCTGTGTGGCTTTTAGCACAAAATAAACAGAGCGGCATGCCAAACGCATGCTGTATCAATTACATCATGCTGTGAAAACACAACCAGATCTCCCTGAAGGTGATGTGAACTGGATCAGACCAAATGTGTAACTTTTGTCGTGTCGTGTTTATCCTCGAGATCTGATCACAAAATCAACCKTTGGAGGAACAAACCGGGWGTTGAGTTGCAGCTCTAACAAAAACATATATTTATGTTAATTTATGAGCTGTATAATGTGTGCTGAGGCTGTGGGATAAGGAGGCTTTTTGCATGTTGGTGGGAGAGCAGATTCCCCTTGAATGAAAGGTCAGTTCTACAGCTACTTATGATGATTATTTAAGCCCTTTTAAGAATGTAATTTAATGCAATTTGACAGCTTCACAGGTCAAAGAACAAAGAGTGACCTGCGGCAAATTGTGAGGCTCAGTTTTATTAGCATTTAACTGATTTTTTTGTCAGAACTTCCTAGCTTTTAATCAAAAAAATTACTCGGTTCCCTTCTTTTAGGCTTTGCATGCTAAAGTTTTATAATCAAACCCTTCACAATCTGTTAGCACCTTGATGATGCATTAGGGCTTTTAGCTACTATCACACAAAGTCATGGGAATGCATGTCAGTTGGGGGAGTTCTAACGTGGGAATTTGTGGGATGCTAAACATGAGTTTAAATGCATTATACCAAATGTATGCAGTGGAATACTTATCGGCAATTTATGTTATCTTATTTGAATCTGAGCATTAAAATATGCTGATTTGGATCAATAAACTGCACCAAATGCTAACTTTCCCACTTTTTAATGAGTTTTAAACAGTTCTAAAAATTTGCAGTGTTCAATAACTGCTGGTTTAGAAATTTACAAAATTCAACAACATTAAACAGTTAATGAATTTTAAACATATTCTTTTTTGTCTACATAGTAGATTTGTGATGCTTTTAAATCATTCTTTTCACATTGAAATCATTCGTTTGAGGTCTTTCTAAAGTGAAACTACATTGCTTTGGTCTGAATTCCTCCTTATTGTAACTCCACAAGCCCCTCTTTCACCTCATTTTGAAGCTTTCTCTTTAAAACCAAACGAGGGTCTTCATGCCCCGCCCCCCTCCAGCTTCCTGAGCGGTCCGTTCTAGTTTGATGGCAGGAGTTCAGATTTTATTTTATTTATTTATTTTTTTTATAATTGAAAGGTGTCAACAACAGAAGACTTGTCCATCCGGCCTTACAAGKTGGAGCCAGAGTCTGACCCAGAGGAGCATGAAGACGACCAAATCAGTTGGTAAGTCCAGACTTTATTTTGTAGTTCAGTCGCAAAACAAAACTAACAAACTAAACAATTATTTTTGCACTCCTAAAGATTCAAAGCACACAACAAATTGCATTTAAATGGCTAAAAAAGTGTATTTTAAATGACATGTCCCCTTTAACTGCGTATTTGATAATGACTCTAGACTCGAGGGGTGCTGCAGCACCCTCCTTGCCACTACTTCCCTTGACATAACACACCAAGTTTTAGCCAAATATTCACAAAAACACTTTTTGAGCCAGGCTACAGCTGACATGTTTGTGTTTGCTGAGCTTAATTCAAGTCAAATTTATTCATTTCATTTAAAAASAAACAAAACWTTTCACACAACAAAACAAACAAAATAAAATGAAAGGCAGCAGCAGAAGAAGAAAAAATCTTAAGATATCTGCTCCTTTAAAAAAATAGTTTAAACGATGATAAACCAAATAAAAACAAAATAACTCATCAGACAGTAACTAATACAAATTAAACAATTTCGTATTTCTTTAACAAATTTTCCTTGATCATTTTTAGTAATTAACTGATCCAATGCTCTTATAGTCATCCTCCAGATTATTCCATAGTCTTATACGTTTTACTGAAGTGCATCTGTCTTTCAAATTTGTTCTGATTTTTGGTTTAACAAACATTTGCAATCCCTTCAAAATTACCCATTTTGAATCAGCTTGACTTCAGAAGTGCATCTATAACTTTAGACAAGTTTGATCAAAACCATTTAGTGGTTTATGACTTTTTTTTTTGCTAACAACTTTTATCAGTTAAAACAGACCAAATAAAACAAATGGTTTGGATTCTGTAGCAATAAGATGCTGAATCAGACTTCAGGATTGAAGCTCCTGTCAGTTCTGTGATTTGATCAGAAGGGGGCGCTGTGTAGACACTTTAACCTCAAAGAAATTCCTCCCGGCTAATATGTCCCCCCTTTTATTTCTAAACGTGGGGTCCTAAATTGGCGTGATTTGTTTTGCCAGCCTAATATCAGGGTTACAGGATGAGTATTTTAAAATAATATTATATTTACGCACATTTAATATCCATGAGTCAAGTTGGGTGGGTATATGTAGGAAATAAAAAAATAAGATATTGAAAGATTATTATTTTTATTATTATAAAACAGTGGATTGAAGTGACAGCAGCTTAAATCAGAGTGAATCTTTCCGGAGACTGGTTTGTGTGTTAATACCAGCACACACCGAGTGATGGAGCCAGCAGGAGAATCTGGAAAAGTCTCCTGCCGCCGCGTAAAAAAGGGGCGTTCCGGAGCTGGACGTCTCTGTCGGCGGCACCAGGTGCGTTCAAACCTGTGGCAGACCAACGCTGCCAGATGTTTCTCCGCTCAGTCACAACGGGGTGGATCTCAGCTGCGTCGACAGTCGGCCGGTGAACGTTTCCGCCCGTCAGGTTTTGTTTTGTTTTTTCCTCCAGCCTGCCCACAGGTATGAGGGACTCTCCCAGACGCGCAACGCTTCAGCGGAAGACGCTCCACGACGCACCGCCGAGGATTGCGCCCGTGTTTTGATCGGACTTCTTTGCGATCGGGGCGGCTCGGAGAGGCTACACTGAGGAGGAGGACAATGGGAGAGGCTTGATTGTCGCGTTTTTTTTCCCCCTACCTCGGCGCTGTCAACTCCGCTGCGTTTTACGCACAAGAAGAAGCGCTCGGGATTATTATTATTATTTTTATTATTATTTATCGTTGCAACCGAGGCAACTGCGCGCACCGACAAGAAGAGAGGAGCGGACTGTTTTTAAGGCACGAACGGACCTCAGCATCAGGTGAAAAATCAACACCAGTAAATGTGGAGAGGATGAAATTCCCAACAGGGCGAGAGATTAACTCCCGGGGCTTCATCGAGCTGCGTCACCTCGAGTTAATTTAACAAGCAGAATAAATAAATAAATAAATAAATAAAATAAAATAGAAAGGGGTGGGGGAGGCTTAAGTGTTTTGAAAGGAGAGCAATCATGTCCAGAACACTGAAGAAGAAGAAACACTGGTCCCATAAAGTGGTGGAGTGCGCCGTGTCCTGGGGGAACCTGGGGGACTTTGGCTCCGTGGTGGAGGTCCTGGGAGGAGCGGAGGTGGGACAGTTCCCCTACATCGGCCAGATGAAGCTGGACGTGCTGGTGTGTCACGTCGGGAAGCTGCCCTACTACGGAGACGTGCTGCTGGAGGTCAACGGCACGCCCGTCAGTGGACTTACGAACCGCGACACCCTGGCCGTCATCCGGCACTTTCGGGAGCCGATTCGCTTGAAGACCGTCAAACCAGGTGCGTCCCCCCCCCCCCCGCTACTGTGTCACCCGAGCTCAGAGTGCTGTGATCCACTGATCAGAACAGCCCACAGGACGAGTTTCCTCTTCTAATTACATTCACTTAATAATTTCCAAAACAGGGTCTGCTAGCAACACATTTTCAAAAACAATTATAGCAAAAATACGAAGACCTGACAGAAACACATTCTGCACAATATTTTTCTAACATCAGTGAGTCCATAAAAAAAAAAAAAAACTGTAAGCAATTTGACTGGATGTCAGCAAGATGTATTTTATTCACATAGAAAAAGCAGCTGAAATGATTGTAAATGTTATATTTACTGACGCAGGCTGGCTTTGTTGCAGCACAAATCAGGTTGTCGTTAACATTTTAGCATCTTGCTGGTGAAAAATATGTGATGTTGAATCAAATTGGTTGATGAACGAACAGTGTTTGGGTTGTTGAAAAGGTTATTTTTGCATCTTCAGATAAATCCAGGGCTGGCTCGAGCCATTTTGGTTCCCTAGGCGAGTTGAAGTGCCCCCCCACACACACACACCGAACTATGTCACACCCGCCCAATTTGAACCCCTTAAAAACAAGTTTGACAGTGTAAGGTACTATGGTAAACTAACATTTATTTGCTTTCCCAGAAAGCAAATAAATAGCAACAYACATGTCAACTTGTACGGATTGTCCGTAAGTTATAAGGATTTTACGTCAGTTTGCAGGTATACGGACWTATAGAGAAATCTCACGGATTTTTTTCAAATCTTAAAGATTTTTTCAAAACCTCATTTTCAACTTTATCTAACAAGTCAGAGCCTGCAAGATGATTAAAAAAACAATAAATAACATTACATAGCCATTTTCCAACCTGTTCTGCCGGTAGAAATAAGTTTTGAATTAATTTTTTTTAAGACAAAGCTAATTGAAAGGGGCGCTTAGCAGAGTTACAACCAGGGATTACGAATAATTACTTTTTTCTTCTGCAGTTCGGCGCCCCCTCCAGCAGATGGCGCTCTAGGCGACCGCCTAGTTCGCCTATGCCAACAGCCGGCTCTGGATAAATCCAATAGCTTTTGTTGGAGTAAACATTTGACATTATGCCATGACTACCTCAAACAAGAGGGCAAATGGAAATCGGGGTACTTTTCTAGTTATTATCAACCACCACCACGCTGRTAGGAAAATCACAAGTTCAGTGTTTAGAACAGTGACATTAAGCTATTAATCTTTGCTAAATATTTCAAAAAAGGTAATAAAGTTAGTGGACCCACCCACTTTGACACTTTTTGAAGGAGATCCCAGAGCTCTGCTGCCCTCCCTCCATCATCCTCCCTCCATCCCATAAACTCTAATTGACTAATTCTCTCAGCACTTTCTCAGGAAGATCGAAGAGTGATAATGGTAATAATGGCATGTAGCCCAGTCGGAGCCATCTCAGCTAAGTGCACTTACATGCATAAAAATAAGGGTCAGTTTCATCCCTCCATTATACTGACGGCTCCCCGTTGGACACAGGACCATGGGTGGGGGGGCTGTTTGTGTTGCTTCTTTTCCATCAGTCTCGCMAAGAATCTGACTTTAACCTCAGTCCAAACATCTGGTTGAAAAGCTGTGGTGGYGCAGGGATGATGATTATGACGACTCAAGCTTCCTCAGCTGATGAGACTGTTTTTATTTTTTTTTATGTGAAAACCAGACAGCTTATCTTTGACTAAATGCCAGAGCTAGAACGCCTAAACAACAACTGAGATCATTCGAAAGGTTACATCGGCATCAACCGAGTCCCAAGACCTCCTCGGGCCTGAATCCCTGAATCTCAGCTGCATGGGTGAACATTATGAGCATATGTGTGTTTACCAGCCGTTTTTTTTTTTTTCAAATATCTTTTTTTGTAAGCAAAGGAAAAACAAAAAGAAAACAAAAAGAAAAATCTGTAGAATAATGAGCCCACAATATTAGTCTTGTGAATGTGTGTGTGTGTGTGTGTGAGTCGTTCATAGCTCCACAGTCCTCTGGGCTCCTAACACCATGCTCTCTGCCCAGCTAGCCAAGGATGATTAATAAAGAGCATGGAGGAATGAGAGAGCAAGGAGGGGGATAGAGACRCAAAGAAACAGGACTGGGAGAAAAAAAAAATCTGCCCTATTTTCTTTTACTCCAGGCTGGACTCCCACACATGGCTGTTTGAATTTTTTGAAATGACTCAGTGCAAATAAATAAATAAATAAATGGAAACTATATTGCAAATTAGATTAACTGTGCAGTTTGAAAGTGTTTAGTAGTAGTTTAGTTTACGATGCATTCAAGCTTAGAATATCGGCAAACATGTTTAAGTTGGAACACGAGTTTATGTGTTGAACACGTAAGAAAAGAGAGAACGAGGAAAAACATGCTGCGGATCATAAAACCAGAGCTCAACATTCAGACACAAAAGAACTTTACAAAACTTCTAACTAATTTCAAACGTTTTTTTTTCAATGCCAACATATTGACACAACAAAAATGAGCATAAATACGTACCAACATTAATATTGTGGGACTTCCCATTCCCATATGACACCTCCAGGGTTCCCACAGATCCTTAAAAAGTCTTAAAAGGCATTGAATTTGTCAATCCAGAAATAAGGCCTTAATTAGCCTTAAAATGTCTTAAATCGATCTTTCAGAGGTTTTAAAAATGGCAACACATTTTAAGTAGGATGATTGTAAATTGTCTCAAATATTAAAATATTTGGTAACTTTTTTATATACTGTATTTAATTTACAGATTTTTTTTCTCATAGCTAGTTGTTCTGTGTTAAAATAAACCTTTGGGTAAAATTGTCACAAACTTTTTTTCCACATTTTTATTTATTGTGAATTGGGTCTTAAATTTAATTTCAAGTGGCATTCAATAGGTCTTAAAAAGTCTTAAATATAACTTGCCTTGAACTGCAGGAACCCTGATTGTAGGCCTATTTTTAGTCACTTCAGGAATTTGAGGATTAATATTTGAATATGAATATTTTTGACCAGTCTTTATGCAATGAGTACCTTTGATGCTCACAAAGCTGTAATGGGGATCAAAAATGGCACCATTCCTCTTCATATAGTTTTTCACTGTAATTGTTAACCAGCCAAGCATGATGTTGGGTTTTATCAGTCATGCGCTCCGCAGCATTAAAAGAAAAAAAAAAAAGACATCACAAACCCTCGTGGCATCAAGCACAGAGACAGGCTTGTTATATGGTCTGATTAAACATCTCCCACATCTGCATTATAAGCACACATTCCTACGTGGTAGCTTCATGTTTAATTCACACCTCTTGCATAATTGATTTAGTGAGTGGATTTTCTCCACTCCGTTGGAGGCGGGGGGGGCTTGGAGGATCAGCTGTTACCAGGAAGCCCAGAGAGTTGCTGTTACACGACGGTGCCGCCAGCAACAAACAGAGTCCCTCGCTCWACCAGATGTTCGGCTCTGCTCTTCCCAGCATCTCCCTCTGGAGGTGGTGGGCTTTCCRTGCTGCTGCTGCCGACTTCAGGGCCGGAGGGACGATGGTTCACACGCGCAAGGACCGGAAATGGGGATTTGGGGCAAGGATGAAGAGATGGGATGCAAGATGTGGGAGCGCACACGGGCAGTTATCTGTCTGTTATTGATCGAGGAGGGCAAGGAGCTGAAAGAGATGCAAGAAAGGCTTTTCTTTTAGGTTTCTGTAGCTTCCTGTTGTGCATCGTATGTTCTCCAGGGGCTGCTA